ACTGCCATCACTGCCATCACTGCCACTACGCCGCCACCGCAACTACCACCATGGCTGTAACTGCCGCTGCTGCTACTAATTACAGCTGCTGCTACCTGCCCTTGCGACCTTTTGTGCCTGCTGCTTCTGCTGCTTCCACCTGTTGGAGGCGGACTTGTATGAGGACCTGTCTGACATTGACGACATCTATCAGCCATGGCCTCGTGAGCTTCACGATGATATCTCCTTGGAGTGATCAACTGCCTTGAAGATGGACTTCGTTGTGGGTCCTGCTCTAGCTGCAACAAACATGTTCAGGCGACAGGTCGAGCTTCCCATTTGCGTGGATGAGTTTGGTGTGTACGAGGCGAGTTTTGCATCACGGATGGTGGAAGTTAGATGTTGCCAAGGTTTTCTAAGGGATGGCGGAGGTGGATTTGTCGCCTGCAACATTCTCTTACAGTCCTCCACAGCTACAGTAGATGCACCTCAAGACTTTCTTCTGACCATTTGCGTCCTTGCCCTGAGCCTACCATCCGAAGCTTGTGGATCAAAGCTCCTGCGCCCGTGCGAGAACCGGGTCGGGGCGATGTCAGGAGAAGTCGGCCTTTTGAGACCCGAGCTTGTAGCTGGGACACGGTTGAGGTGTTTTCCCGGATGTGTAGTGGAGGGTTCTCGTTTTGAAGGTCTTGCAGTCTGGAGTAGGGCCCTCACCAGAGATCATTGTTTGAGTGCCTGCAAGTGCTATTAGGCTTTTTCAGTTTGGATGGCTTCTTAACGCGAGAATTAAGTCAGAAGGACTCGCGATGATCAGCTAAGTTATCCTTCAGAACAAGCCCAGGAAAGCGGTGGAGTCGCGACTGACAGAACAGTACCAACTTCCAGGCAGCCGTTCTTGAAAACCTTGTGGTTTAGATTGGTGTTTAGGGTAAGGGCATGCAGCTTTGGGGTTTGAGTTGAGGAAGTCTGTAAGGATATTTTCAGCAGGAAGACCGAATCTTCAGAAGCCCTAAATTTCCTAAGCCTCCTTGAGATCCTATGCCTGGTACAATGCCAAAGCCGAAATTGCAAATGCTGAGACTGCAGCCGAAAACCCTAAACTTTTAAAACTCTAAACCCCACTCGCTATGTCTTTTCCCAAGCCAAAAGCTTCCTAAACCCTCAAATATACAGTGAAAGGGTTCTTGAATAAACAAGTCATCATCCCTGACGTCAAGCCCTTTGAATTTCCTAAAGCTTGAGCTGCATTTCAGCCCTTGACAGGTCGTCCACTCGCTGGCTGGCAGCAGCGGCGGGGCTTTTGCTCACCACCTTAGCAGTACTGGGGCAAATCTGGACATGGGGTCTCTTCAAAATAGGGACACCCTCAGGGACCCTGGGGGTATGCGGTGAGGAGATGAGGAGGTGGCCTTAAAGAGGATTTTGAAGAGATGTGAAATTGCCTTGTGTTCATCATGTGCAGACTTTCTAGCAGTTTGACTTCGGTTAGGGACTTGGAGACTGCGCTGTAGAACGTGGGAGACATCGATCTCAAGCTATGGTAGCAGTGTCTACCTAAGCGCTGGAAATCAGTACAAGCCTAGTGGTGTCCTAGTAACTATTGTCCTGGCACAACTGTCTGAACTTTCTGCGAAACGAGAGTGAAATGTGCTACAAACCCTAAGCCCTATACTTGCTTAAATCCTAAGCATTCAAGCCTTTACACTAAATACGAGGCTCTAGATCCTAAACCCAACACCATTAACCCTAAATCCTAAAAACAAAACCCTAACCCCCAAATCCCAAACCCCCAATCCCAAACCCCAAACCCTATACCGGTCTATGCCCTGTCCCTAAACCCCAGTTTAGGGTTTAGGGTGTGGGGTTAGCCCGAAACCCTACATCCTAAACCCAGGCATGCCGCTTTCTGGCGGCAAGTCCAACCGGCACAGCAGCGGCCTCTCATGCAGAGGCCTCCGAGGCCACAGGAGTGGCAGAGGCGAACTTAGCCGCTCTTGCCCCTGGGTTTAGGGTTAGGGTTTACGGTCCAAGATGGTCCAAGTATATACCCAATAATTAGGTACTTGGGTTTTGCGTAATAGTAGTAATACTACAGGTTTTGGGCCAGTATACCATTATTAGGTATTGCGGCTTGTGCGAGCATTTTCGATGGCGGTTGTTAATATCTCGATTTTCTTTGGTCCGTAGGGCCTGCAACGTGAACGACTTTAAGGAGTTGAATGAAGCCACAAGCCCAGGTTATGGATTTCGACCTCAGTGGTATGAAGACCGAGAAATGCTGGATCAACAAGACTTATTACGTTGAAGCCAGTGGAGAGTTTCATATGCCGAAGACTGCAAAGACGCAGCAGGTTAGTGCAGCTGCTTGCCAGCTCTTTTGTGCAGCAACCTACAAATGCGAACATTTTTCCTACTGGGATGATGGAGCCTGTCTGCTCACCAGCTATTCGGCTTACCCCCAAGCCTACACTGGCCCAGATGACAACGGTGTTATCTCGGGTCCTCGTGAGTGCAAAGAGACTTGCTGGTTCTTCAGGGGAGGGAGGAACAGAATATGGAAACTACTGTAGGGCTTGGGGTTCAGGATTTAAGGAATGGAAGAGAAATCGAACTTGCCGTTTTGTTGTCGATTATATGGATTCCTCATAGGGATCCATGCCTGCGCTTCCTACGAACAGCCAATCAGTGAACCGTAACTCCTGAAACCAAAAAAAACCGGTATGCCTCTATAAACCCCAGTTTCCATCTCATCTTCCCCTTTGACTTTCCACTGGATTCTCCATCCTGCTAACCATTCTCAACCCTGCTAACAGTCTTGAGCCCTGCATGGTGATTTCCATTTTCGCTTCCATTCCTCCATTCCCTACAAATAAACCTGAACCCTATATACACCTCAAATTGCAATTTCTATTTTCGTTTCCATCCTGGCCCTGGTAACTAACAACCCTGAAGCCTAGACCCTAAATTGCAATTCTCTAAACAATTCATGTCCATTCACTTGGCCATTTTCTTTTCATTTGATTGATTCTCCGTGATCCCCAACGAGCAACCAGCAAACCCTAAGCCAAGTAAGGAAATCAACAATGGGCCAACGGATGAGTTCACTGCCTCTGCACTAGGACTCCCACAGCGGCTGTGTGATGGTTGGGAGAGTTTTCATGTGCCCTTACACTTTGAAGGGGATGTAGGGGTTCTGTAGGACAATTATGCAGGAGTATCTGTTCAGGGTGTATGTAGGGTCTAGCTTTTCCATAACTCCTGGATCCCTTGTTGGAGGCTCCCCATGCGAAGGATTATAATTTCCCGAATGCTTTCGCGGAAGGGTTCCCATTTGAAGTGTTGGGGTCCAGGTGTCCAGGAGGTGACCAAAAACCGTCGCGTTCGTGTTCGCGACGCATCCGCAATCGTCCGCGAAGCGTTCGGCTTTTGGACCCTTTTGTCGTCACGTATCAAACGTGTCAAGAGTCTTAGGCATGGGTCTTGTGGGGGTTGCCATCTTTGTAACTGTTGTTGTCTTTGGAGTGTCGTGTCTTCGTCGCGTGTCAAAAATGGAGAGTGGATGGATTGTGGAGAGTGGAAAATGGATGGAGTGGAGAATGGAGAATGGAAAATGGAAATTAGGGAGTGGAAATTGGAGAGTGGAGAGTGGGGATTGGAGACTTGAGGATGGAGAGTGGAGTGTCTTCGTCATGTGTTCCGCGTATTGTGTTGTGTGATCTGCGCGAATTACGCGTCTTGTGTCTGCATTCGGGTTCTGTCAGGTTGTGGGGATACATACAAATATATGTACATACAGAGGAAGCTCGCTTTCGCGAGAGAGAGACAGAGAGAGAGACATACAGATATGAAGGTATACATGAAGGGGATGCCCCCTCCACTTCTGGTGCTGCGGACTCACAACAATGAATACGCGAGAATACTACTCATGCTACGAGTGCCATTTTTAGTGCTATTCTTGCTACCGCAACCATTAGTACCATTTTTACTATGTTCACTATTTGTTTCAAGTGGTAGCCCCATCAGGTTCAGGGCCCACGAGGCATCAGGATGTGGCAGCTTGCATCTTGGCTGGCTTGAGCCTGTCTCTCAGGACTCGGTTTAGTGTTTAGGCAGGGTTTAGGGTTTAGGGAGGTTCCTATTTTCTACACTTGACAATAGGGTACCTAAAAGCTTAGCTGGTAAAACGATTGCATAGGATGCTTAGAATAGGGATCCACTCCTGCACTCCCCAGTCAGTCCCCAAAGCCGAGCAATTCAGTTGAGCCAGGGTCTAAACTCCTTTAACGGGCAGTGTTATAGGGGACATCAAGGGGGATGCTAGGAGTTTGGACCCTAAACCCTCAACCCTAAGCCCTATTTCAGTTGAGGCATGATGACTACAAGCTTGCCTGGACAGCAGAAGGAGAAACCTTCTTCGAGGGCTGGCAGTTCATTAACAAGAGTGAGACCAGAGGTGGGGGTTTCTTTCAACATATGGGGAAGCCTTCAGGGACCCCCAGGAATTATGCAGGGATTGCAAAGGGCCAAACCCTAAACCCTAAACCACAAGCCCTACAAACCAAATCCCTAAGAATTCTATGGGGGCAGCCTACCCTAAACCCTAAACTCTAAACCGTAAACCCTAAAAATTCTATGGGGGCAGCCTTGAGAAACTTTCAGGTGCTGAATGGTACCTGAACAAGTCCGAAGCCTTCCACCAGGGCGTGGTGTTTGCTTCAAAGGCCTTTCAGGTTTAGGGTTTAGGGTTGAGGTATTTGGGTTGTACTGGGATACTCGAAAAGCATGCAAACTACTATGATGGGATATATATATATATAGAGGGTTTAGGGTTTAGGCCTCCAAAAAACCCAGGACCCACGAGAAAGGTTCTTAGTTCGTGCAAGCCCTTAGCCCGATTTTAGAAAATCATCCCCCTACATACTCCTATGCAAACTCTTCAAAGAACCTCCCAGTCTGACGGTTTAGGCCATTATGTATCTTAATCCCAAACCCCAAATCCTAGACTGGGTTGCTGTTAAGGATCTTGAGTTCAGTTACCATATTCTGGATCTACATTAAATAGAATGCTTTTCTCACTGTGGTAACCGAGCCCCAGGCCCTGAACCCTGTAGAAGGCTGGTGCTATGATGCGTGTTGGCGAGCAAGTTCAGCCTTTCAAGCGCCGGTCCGTGATGCTGCATTCCGCGCAGGCTTCTTGATTTAATGTAACCGTATGGTTGTTTTTGATGATGCATTCCTGGATATCCTAAATATCATTCAGGGCAGTATCATACTAGGGATCCAAGAATGGACAATGATTTTGACAGCGTATCATATAAAGATGTATAGGACTTACAGGGTTTGGGGTTCAGGGTGTGGGGTATGGGGGCCAATGGGTCCCTTGAAAGCGTTCATTTGGCTTCTAGATCCAGACTTTACGCAGTTGAGGGTCTAGGCTTTGTGTGGGCTCTTACGAGTTCTCCAACATCACAAGGATTCCAGCTACACTATCCAATTCTAGGTCAGCCTCAGCCAAGCTTTCAAGGGGATTTCGGGGTTAGGGCGTTCGACGTTGAGGGTCCATGGGGTGCTTTTCGATGACCACAGGACATGTTTTTACCTTACATGATGGTGATTAGTTTCAGTACTTAGGGGTGCTACTAGCGTATATTCTACTTTTTTTTTACTGCTGTCGTCATCACCGTGGTTCATGTGACAACGCCAGTCCTTGTTCCAGGGACCTCCCGCCGCACATGTTCCTGCCAGTGTACCAGTAGATGCCGCACAAGCTCGCTGCATGATCAACTTCCAAACCTACTCTAAACCTCAAAACCGCAAACCTAAGCCCTTAAAACTCTAGACCCCAACCTGAAAGCCTGGCGGCCCTGAACCTCTAGAACTCTAGACCCTAACACCTTAAAGATCTAAGCCCTGAAGCCCTAACCCCTAAAACCATAAACCCTGAAACCTGAACCCCTAAACCCCCAAACCTTGAACGCCAAAAGCCCTAAACTCCAAACCCCAAAAACAATCAACCACAAAACCACCAAACCCTGAACCAAGTCAGCCCAGGCATGGAGACCAGATATAGGCTTCATCGTGGTGATGAAGTACAAGCACGTACCCTATGGGGCAGGTGGGGGGGGATCTAGTCAGGGTTTAGGGACATGGGTTTTGGAGTTGAGGGTTTAGGGTTTAGGGTTCAGGGTTTGGGGTTTTGGGGATTAGGTTTTGGGGTTTAGGGATTAGGGTTTAGGGCTTAGGGTGCCACTCAGCGCAGGTGGGCTAAAGGGTGTATAGTAACAGACCAGCAAAGCTAGACAGGTTATAGGGATCTACAGAACCATATGAGGATTTTTAGGATAACAGCGGGATGTTTATGGGTTCATGCGCATATGTAGGAGTAGCGTAGTTTGTAAACCGGGTGGTTACCTTCCCTTGACTGACAAAGACCTATGGTAGGTGGTCAAAAATGGCCCTCTCCATACGGCCTCTAACTACCATGCCATCCAAAGAGGAACCATGATTAATTTCGACAACCTACTATATGGGGTATTGTCAGACTTGCGGTCCCGTTTTGGGTACCCTGATCCGAGGGGCTGCTTTAAAATGAGGACCCGAGAAGAAACATAAAGGGTTGAGGTCTAAGGGTTTGTGGTTTAGGGTTTGGAGTGTCTGAAGTTTAGGGTCTCAAGGGTTAAGCCCCTAAACCTTATACCCTAATTCCTAAAGCTTACTACAAAACTACCAGGCGATATTCTGGGATAGCGCTGGGCACTTTCAAAGTTATCGTCCAAAGGCAGTTCGGCCACTTTTAAGGGATGGTAGATGGCAAGGCTCTTTTAGGGTTTGGGGTTTAGGGTTTGTTTGATGTGTATGATATAGCGCCGAATACCTCGTGGCACAAAAAGCCTGAGATTCATTATTGTTGAAATACCCTTAAACCCCAGCTGCCTCACATGAGGCACCACACCCAAAGCTGCAAGCCCTCACGCGAAACCCTGACAGCCTCCATAAACCCTAAACGTTGGACTCTAAAACCCCAAAACCCTGACGGCCCAAAACCTTTTAAACCCCAAACCCTTAAACCCTAAACCCTTAAACCCTAAACCCTAAAACCCTAAAACCCAAAAACCTTAGAAACCCCAAAACCCAAGGTGTCTGGCCAGCCTTCTGGTTGGTCAACAGTGACTTGGTTGCTGTTGAGTTTTACCATTACTTAGGGTTTGGGGGGTCATTTTGATTTAGAATTGTAAAATTAAGGAAATTTGGGGACCCTAAGTAATGGTAAGTTGGTTTGGGCTGGAGGGTTTAGGGTTTTGGGGTTTAGGGTTTAGGGTCTTCACGCAAAGCTTCTAAGCTGGTGGTTGGGGAATCCCTGCGTAGAGGGGACAACTTCAACTAAGTTACGTTCTTTAGTAGATGCCTGCATGATACATCCAAATCCACAAGCCCTGAACCCTTATCCTCTACACCCCACCTCCCCCTCCAAACTCAAAGCTCTAAACCCTAAAGCCGGAGCCTCCAAAAGCAAGCCTCCAAAGCCCTAAATCCTCAAGCCCAGAATTCACCCTAAACCCTGGACCCTATATACAGTAATTCCTATAACCCCTGTATAACCCCTGTAGCTCTTATATGTCCCTTATTCCTTGAACCTTAAACCCTTCCTTGACAGCAGCCCAGGTGACACAGGCTGGCCGAAAGGCGGCGAGCTTGACATCCTCGAGTACGCAAATGATCAGACGAACAAGGTGGGAGATCAAAACCATTACAATTTAGGGACAAATTGGGGGTTATGTAGAATTTAGGATTGATTGGGGGTAGTGTAGGGGAAATGGAAAAGCAAATGGAAACTACTGTTTAGGGTTTAGGTTTTACTGTAAGGTTTACGGTTTCGGGTTTGATTTAGGATAGAGGGTTTATCTTTTAGGATAGGCATTTGAGATTCAGAGAGTTTGGGGTCAAAGGTTTCGAGTTTTCATAATTTTTGGGTTGGCTTCGGGTATGTCTTGATTTAGAGATTCAAAGTTCTAAGGACGACATACACTAGGGTAAGGCGCACGCGAGATTCTGATGATCTTGAGATTGCTTGGGTTTCGGGGAATATACCGGGGACCTCTTTTTTTGAAGCAGGCTGCCCATCGTCTATGAGGTTACTATACAAAGAATTACGGTTGTTGGAGTATACTGTGTAATTATACCTCCAGGCACCCTGATTTCTGGAAGCTACTCAGGTAACCTTCCACACAGACAAGAAGTGCAAGCTCAATGTGAACAGAATGTTGGAGTGCTCCAAAGACATCAAGGACATTGACAAGGAGATGATTGCCAGCTGCTACACCAACTACACAGGGAATGAGTTGGGTTGCATGCCGCCGCAAGTCCGAAGAACCGGCGAATGGTATTCAAACAATCCCGGCGCTCTTGCCCTCCTGTGGGATGCAAGTGGCATTACCTACTACCACATTCCGGAGAGTGAGATCCCAGATGACCTTTCATCGAATCAACCCAAGCCCAACACTTGGAAGAGTGAATGGCGAATGGCTTTCATGCCCTTTGATGCAGAGTCCTGCATTGGCATCGCCAGACCTCAGGAGATCGTGCTCAACATCGCGATTTGCGGTGACTGGGCAGGCAACGGATGGTGGGGATGTGAGGAATGCCGAGCCACCGGCTACGTGCCGGACTACTGCATCCCAGGGCATGTAACAGAACCTGCCACGGATTGTTGCACGCTCTACATCTCCAACCCTTCCGCGGAGGAGCCCTTGAAAACCAAAGCCTTCTTCGACATCGATTACGTGAAAGTCTTTGAGCCATCAACGTATGATCTTCCAAAATACCCGGCCGGCACATACCGGAATGGTGGCTTGTTTGGAAGCGAGAAGTAGTGCAAGTACTTTCGCAAGTTGCTCGAAGAGGCAAGATTCGCTCCTGAGTGTGGCCTAGGTTCCCTTTTCTCTCGCTCCAAAGATGGTGCTAAAGTAAGGTGAAAACGCCACATACGCATCTTGCTTGAACCTGGTTGAAAATTGGAGCCTGCATGGTGTTGGTGTGCTCGCCAGCCTTAAGGGTTTGGGTATGCCCCCAAACCGAGTTCGCTTTGTGCCTGCTAGAAGGGTAGGACCCTTACTCCGGAGACCTCCATGTTTTGGACGCCTTCGTGCTAGATGTATATACATATATGGAGGTTTCAGCAAGTATGTGGGGGCCCAATGTAGACGCCCAAAAAATATGATCCCCCTTGTGGGCTTCACCCGTGTCTTCTTGTTAAAGTCAGGAGGAGAGCCTTAGCTCCCTGTAACTGCAGGTGGATCTTGGACTCGACATCGCTGATGCGCCACAAGCTCAGGTTAGGGTTTAGGGTTTAGGGTTTAGTTTAGGGAGCCACATGATATTACCCCCTCAGAATGGATAATCAAATGGAAAAGAGCATGAACATTTACCTGGAAGCTGATTACTATTTAGAGTTTAGGGTTTCCGCTTTAGGCATATGGTGTAGGGGTCTAGTACAGCTGTGACATTGTGGAAGATCTCGCGCGGCTGTGTCTCACAGAAGGGATCCCCCCTTGCATAACGGATTGGAAGGACCTGACGCTAGTTATCGAGAGCTGCACGCGATTCCTGCCAAATCGATGGCTGTCTATGATCCCTGCATGACAACTTTAATGCAACCCTGTTGGCCCTGCCTGCATAAGATCTCTGAACCATGCAGACATATCGGGGATCCAACATGTGTCTTTTGGCTGAGATTCTTTTCACGTTCCTAATTGCTGCTGGAGATTTGACTTGTCTACAAACCGCTGGGCGCCTCAGTGATGCTGCGTACTCAAAGTCAAAAGCTGGAGATGTGAGCAAACCATCATATGATTGTCCCCAAGGGTGCCCCAAACAGTAGTAAAGGTGACCTTCGGAAATCTCTAAGCACAAAATCTCCAAAGCTCCAACCCTAAATTCCTCAGTATCATGGAATTACCTCCCCAGAAAGCATTGCCAGAAGCATTTCTGCTTTGCAAAGGTGTCAGCAGACTGACTCGATTTTTCCGATGGGTGAGGCGGCCAAAGAGCGCTGGACCCTAGATGAGAACCCAGAGGCAGGCAAGCTCCTGAACCCTAAACTTGTGAGTGGGGAATATGCGAATATGTTATGGGGATATTATTCCCATATTCCATGCCAACAACGAGGAAGTAAACCACGTAGGTTTCTGAAGATGCGAGTCTGCTGGGTGATGTAGTCAAGAAGCATGCTGCGCGTGTACCTGTGCGGCAAACCTAATGTTCGGAAGTTGCAGGGGTATACGCAGTCACTGTTTGTACGGTAAGGATGGTTATCATCATGCCATTCTGGTTCTTTCAGCTACCCTCACAGGCTCACAACACATCTTTCCCAACATAGTATCAGCTCATGATGAGAAATGTTGCTTCTTGGTTTGCTATTCCGACGAAGGTATTAGTGGTCTATGTCTTAAGGTCCTGAGTGCCAGGATGTCGATGCTAGGGGCCTAAGGCATGAACCCTAAACCCTAGTTGCCAGCGGTCCCTCCATGTCTGATGTGCAGGTAGTTCTCGTGTACATACGCCTTGCAGTAGGAGCTGCACGTGATTTGAGGAGCCTGGCTGATAGCCGACACAGGAATGCAGGAATGCATCATTAAACTTGCTTGTCGATGCTGTCATGAAATTTGAGTGCTGTCACTGTCGCATGCCCTATTACACAGACCTGAATCGCAGTATCCTACTCTTCAGAGTTGGTTGGCTGCGTATGCTGCTTGCTGCATTTTCAACCCTTCAGTCCAGGAGCGGTCCCGACAAACCGCCATTTACAAGAGTCACCGCGGGTGGTCTCCAAGCTGGAGAGCCCCGCGTGACCATTGCCTGGGACGACGGCGATGAGCTGAGTCGATGGCTTCTTTTAGACACGGTGCTGACCAACATTGAAAGAGTTTACGTGCTAAGCACCCTAAATTAAGAGTCATCACATTGTTATGCTACGCCGCGCCTTCCCATTCAACAGGTGCAGCAGTGACCATCATGACAGTACTCATTGCAATGGTTCTCGTTGTGCTGCAGTGCTTTGCCAGGTGAGCCCATCCGTGCGAACCAGGATCCTCTAGGTGCGTTCCTTGCACACACATGGGAGTTTCTCAAAAAGGGGGGGCCCTAGGGACCCCAAGGGGTATAGAGGGATTATAAGGGGATTATATAGGGCCCCCTTAAGGGATTATATAGGGGGTATATTGAGAAATACCCATATCAGTGGTACTGCCAACACATTCTTTAACTTCCCATGATTAGGTATCTAACTGTCTAACAGCACAGGGCATATACATACAGACATTTATGCAGATGCATAAATATCACACAAGAGCTTATTGCTTTCAAGGTTGCTGTATTCGATGAGGCACCCTCAAGATCTACACTACAATCCCCCATATAGAGGCCCGGAGATTTTTTCTATGCTATTCCTTTAGAAGTCTCATATACCTGCATTATAAGATGCCCCAACCTATTCGTTGAACCCAAAGCTCAAAGCCCCAAACGTAGAGTTCTCCAAGGAAGCTTCAGATGTCAAAGTTTTTTGAAATCAGCCCCATAATAATCCCAAGAGCCCTAAGTGTCTCTGAAAGTCATGGGCTTCTTTTGGGGATCCTCACCATAAGTCAGGGGATAAGGAACAATCCCACATACCTCGAGGGTCCTCAAGGTTATGGGGCTCTTGAGAAACCCCGCTGTCTCCAGGTGTGATGTGGGCGGCGATGCCCAGGGCACCTCCAGAGGTTTGGACCTCACATCCTCAGCAGACGTGACGCCTGATAGAGATGCAGGGATTTCAGAAATTGGGGGTCTCCTTTTGGGGTGCTTCAAACAGAGGCTATGGCATATTCAGGGTATAGGGGAGGACCCAAAGTTTGGGAATCTGAAATGTGCACAGGTAAACTAGTCAAACCCTGGTTGCCGCGGTAGTGGTACTGACTATGCGAGAAGTGGTCGCCAAAGCCGCCGTAGTAGCAGTATCACCATCACCGCCAGTATTGCCATCAACGCCATCATGATCATTCTTTTCCAAAACCATGGGGCAGCAGCAGTGTCGCCGGTATCAGGTTGCTGCAATCAGCCTGTTAGTTGTTGCTGATATCACGATCTTGTTGAATCTCGAAAGTGAACATCCCTTGATGGATCTTTTTTTTGATACAGGGACTTCACCTTCGGGAGCCCTATATGGAGTTCTCAAAGCAATAAAGACTCCCTAGTAAGGACCGCACAGTTCCCGTCACATATCCTTTGAGTCCTTAAGGCTTTAAGGGTTTCCAATTGTGAGAGAACTCCCATATGTTCAAGCCTGTCAAAGCTGCGACTGCAAAGGCTCGAGCCCTGATAGCTTGGTGAGAGGGGGCTGTTCATGCTGTAATCGAAAACCGAGCATGAGCCTTGAAGCATTTGCAATCTTGGGAAGTTCGTGAGGCGATATCAACAGGTCCTTATAGAACCATATTCGAGGATCCTTGTGTCTGAATGGCCATTCTGATCAGCAATCACATTTTCAAGATAGCAGCATCAGGCTGGCAAGGTTCACCCACTTGCCGCTTTGCCAGTTTCCACTTGGAAGTGTTTCCTTTCGGTGTCATAAAAAGAAACCGTAGTCATGCCGTATTCTCAGTAGTGTATAGAAACCTGTCAGTCTTAACTACTCTCAGAAAGAGTGCAGCCACAGACCATCAAAGCGAGGAACATGCCTTTGGGGTCAAAACGCAATCTGCGGCTTGATATACAATTTCACACAATGTTTGATTTGTAACTTGATGATTGCCAAGGGGAGGGGGCTTCGCCTTCTTCGTGGATTTTTGTCTCAAGCCTTTGAGCGGCTTATGAAACAGTAGCCGTCTTGTTTCCCGATGACTCACCAAGTGCCCCAGCAACGGGAGGACATAGCTTTCCCCGGCCGGATTGTGGCCGGAAGATTTGGGCATCACGGCACTCTTTGCACCGCAAGCTTCTGCGGTGCCCGGAAGGATAAATGGGACCAGCTTGTTCAAGAAGCGCAGGCGGATGGTCTCAGTACTGCATGCGTTTTCCTGCCAAAAGGGGATGAGAACTTTGGCAAGCATGATGAGAACGAAGAAACTCCTGGCAAATGTTTCTGCCATGCTTTGTACGGAGAACCAAAATTTTGGGGCTGCCGATGGTTTGAACAATGGAGGACATTGATCCATGAAGCACACATGGCTGGGCAACTCATGGTGGTATTCTATTTGCCGGGGCATTTGGAGAAACATGGAGCGACGCACAGCTCATACCCTGTGACAGCCCACGTTGAGGGAGAACTTGCGTGGAATCAATTGGCTAGCAACACCTTCGAAGAGTTGAAAGCCATGCCTGGGCTGGGGGCTTCCCAGAAAGGGGAAGTGGCTTGGCTCAAAAGGCAGGGCATTCCTTTCTTGCGCATGGACGTGGCGCAAGGAGCGCCAGACTCGGAAGCCACCCACGAGATCTTCAAGATTGTGGGGGAGGCTGTTCCCTTGGACGACATGCAGAGTTTTCACGAGGCCATGGGTTGGGCGGCGAGACTCTTTGCTATCGGGGCATACCAGGATGCACGGCGGTTGTACCAACGCATGATTGCAGCTTGGCAGCTGCGCCCGGAAGACGATGCCCGCGTCTCCTCAAAGATCTACAGGAAGTTTGGGGATGCACTAAACGCTGCAGGCCAATTTGGGGACGCAAAGGCCCCGCTGGAAGCTGCCCTCAGTGTGGCGCAGCAAGGCCTCGGTGATGAGGACCCCGAGACCCTCGATGTCATGCAGGAGCTGTCCTTTTCTCTAGAAGGGCTGGGCCAACACGAAAGCTCGAAGGGGATGCGAGAGAGAGTATTGGTGCTTAGGAGACGTGTCCA